GCCAAAGTCACGTGAAATCACGTTTGACCACAGCTCCTCTCTTGCGTCCGCCTCCTCTGGCCGGTGCTTGGCTAGGCTAGCACGGTCCCCACCTGTTCTACTGTGTGTGATGACCGCTCGTGGTGATTGCTTTCTTCCAAAGTTTTGCTTTTGTGACTCAGAGCAGTTTAAAATATCCCTGGGCTGAATACAAACACTCTCAGAAGCTGATTTCCAAGGAACAACAATCCCCTTAAAGATACAAGCTTTCAAAATGACGCTGCTGCTCGTGAGCACCGGGAGGGTTTGCAGCCCGACTGTCCACGGCACTGCCCCGGATGGCAGGAACCATGGATCCCCTCAGGAAAGCCCTGGGGTCCCCCAGCTCTTATTTTTAGTGCATTTTCCATGGCTGAGCCTGGACCCTTTCCTTTGGGGACTCTATTAGTTACGCCACACCCCTGCGGGAACACACCTGGTCCTCGGATTTTAGCAGCAAATCAAGTACACGTGAAGCAATGTTCCAGGGTGACCCAGCGAGTCACTTTATGTTTCTGGGTTTCAGTGCACTCCTCTTAAATTAGATTAAAATAGATATTTGAGGTCCCTTTCACCTCCGGAGGACTATAAACCCAGATGCCACTAATCAGCATGAGGCAGCGCTTCACAGGGACGAAGGGACTGGCTGGACGGGAACAACCAGAAGTCAGCACGGACCTCATCACCCCAAACCTCGTCTCCCACCTCTGTCCAGCGTGCGCTCTCTCGAGTTTGTGAGAGCCAGAGCAAAGCTCGCAGACTAGGAGCCTGGCCCTGGCCAGAAGGGCTGAGGTGGTCTCAGGTCCAACTCTGCTATGATGGCTTCCTGGCCTAAGTGCACGTGGTGTCTAAGAAAGACTGCGTCAGTCCTGACACAAATCATGTGGGGAGACCACACACATGCACACGCACACACACACACAGACACGTGGTCCTCCACAGGCCTCGATGCTTCTGAGTACTCGAGAGTTAAGCAGATGGTCTTGGCAGTCATCTTGCCTGGTGCTACAGTGACGCACAGAGTAATGGAGGCACCCCGAGAGAGGGGCATTCCTGAGGAAGGATGCGGAAAAGGGGAGTGGTGACTGCAGTAGGCATTTCTTTCTTCTTCTTCTTCTTCTTTTGTGGCTGGGGATGGAGCTCAGGGCCCTCTGCGCATCAGGCAGCTGCTCTTCCTGAGCTATGTCCCAGCCCTGGGTGGCGGTGGTGGTTTTCGACCCCCTGCACTGCTACGCTGCTTGAAAACCTTCTGGGAGCCGGCACACTTCACACACAGAATTTTAAGGAATATGTTTAGAACAGCGACTCAACTTTTAGTCAACACACATTTGACCTGGGAGAGACCAATACCCACGGCCCATGCAATGGGTGCTTCTGAGAACGAGGTGAGTCTTTCAACTACACAGAGTTCAGGGTTGAGCCCGAAACAACACCTGTCCTGCGTTAAAAAGAACACTGCTTCACTACTCACTACCAGGTGACCCATGGCTGACATTGGCCTGAAGTTTCTCGTCTTAACCGGAGACAGTACAATGCACACCAGGACTGTTGTGAGGATGGATCTTTGCGTCTAAAGCCTCCAGGCCAGAGAGGTGGCCATGCCTGTAGTCCTGGGGACTTGGGAGCCTGAGGCAGGAGGATCCCAAGTTCGAGGCCAGCCTGGGCAACTGAATCAGGCCCTCAGCAACCTAACAAGACTGTGTCTCAAGAGAAAACATAACAAGGGCTGAAGATTTAGTTCAGTGCACCTCAGAGCACCCAGGGGTTTAAAACCAAACCAAAAAAACCAGTATCTGGCATCATGCAGACCTGGGGGTTTGGTAATGTTATTAGTGACACTGTCACCACTGCTCTCACCCAACAACGAGCAGCAACACTGTGCATGGCCTCCCCCTTGTCAACTCAGATATTAGTTTTTAAAAAAAATTTTTTTGTAGTTATAGATGGACAGCATGCCTTTATTTTATTTATTTATTTTTATGTGGTGCTGAGGATGGACCCCAGTACCTCACACATGCTAGGCAAGCGGTTTGCAGCTGAGCTATAGCCCCAGCCCCAGATATTAGTCATGTACAAAACAAACAAACAAACAAACAAAAAAACCCCAACCAACCAACCAAAAAAAAAAAAAAAAAAAAAAAAAAAAAAACCCACAGCATGGAAAAAAGTTTTTAAATGGCTCTATGGGCTAGGGATGTAACTTAGTGGGAGAGGATGTAGCCTGTCAGAGACCCAAATTCCAGGCCCAGCACTGCAAAAAATAAATAAATAAATAAAAAATTAAAAAAAAAGGCAAAGAAATCTGGAGTATCTAGATGGCCAAATGTGCATCCAATGGTCTTGGTAACACAAGAGCCCACCAAGTGTACCCTTAGTCTACCTCCTTGCTAGACAAAAGGAGAGCATGCGACAGAGCAGTCACAGGGCCAGTAGGCTGGAGCAAAGCCCTAGCTTTGATCCCCAGCACCCAGGGAAGAGGAAAAAATAAAAGAGAGAGAGAGAGACAGACAGACAGACACACACACACACACACACACACACACACACACACACACACACGGGGCCCGAGGAGGGAGGAGGAGTTGCTGCAGGCAGCCAAGAGTGAAGGGGAAGACACAAACTGTCAAAGTAGACAGATGAACTCAGAAGCCTAGGACCACGTCTCACCTTCTGCAGACGAAGCCCACTAGCTCCGAGTGAGTCCCTCTGGGCAGGAAGCTGCCGTTCTAAGCTATTTTCATTAAGTTAGGTTCAGTGTATTTTGTCAAAAGGAGGCAGAGAGACTCTCTAAGAGCCTAAAATGTGGAACGTTTTGGTGCTTAAAATAGGCTTCAGGATCTCACTTATGTGAAACGACTCAAAGACCAACAAAGTTAGCAAATATATTCACTGTCAGAGACACTGAACAAACAAACAGATAAATAAATCTAGTAATAATAAAAAAAGACATATGTGGGGCTGGGGTTGTGGCTCAGTGGTAGAGCCTCACCTAGCACGTGAAAGGCACTGGGTTCGATCCTCAGCACCACATAAATACATAAAAATAAATAAATTAAATAAAGGTATTGTGTCCAAGTACAACTAAAAAAAATTAAAAAACATAACAAAAAAACAAAACGAAACTAGTCATTTACCTTCTACAGAGAACCCAGAGTGCAATGCAGTAAAAGCACTGCGCACACCTCCCACGTGAGGTGACAACGGGGAGCTCCAGTTCTGGTCTGATTTATTTTAAATGGATACAAGGTAGGCCCTGGGAAACGTGGGGTATTTTCTCTGATTTTCTGACCCACATGGGATTTGAAGACAACAAGCTCTAGATGAATCGGAGGAGTCTGAACACTGCAATGTTTTGCTCTCCATTCAGAACAGGAGTCAAAGCAGGCAGTGTTTGTTAAGGCAATGGCCGAGCAATGCCAGGCAGGGGCTGGGTGGCAGCAGTTCCTGGCTGACATCACGAACGCCGTGGGTCAGGTGTTGAGCAACGTGTCTCACGGAATTTCATTGAAATGTCACCATAATATTGCGCAGGATCGTTGTGGGTCCGAGTGTTCTAGAGTCCCCCCGAGCACTGAGATTGCTCACTACTTTACATAAGTCCTCAGTGAATAAAGCACATGTGAAGCACTGAAGTGAAAATAGCAACCTGTGTTCATGTTTGGAACTTTCTTTCCTCTACACACTTTTCTTCTTCCTTGAAGTCTTAAGTTGGAATTGAAGAAGAGTACAGGAGAGAGGCAGGGTTGACGCCCTGTTACCATCTGAAAGAGCTTGTGGCTTTCACTCTCAGAGCCACCGACACAAGCCAACAATTTATTTCAGGCCCAAAGATTGTTTCATAAAAGTAAACTTTAAAAAACATCACTTTTGGGCTGGGGATGTGGCTCAAGCGGTAGCGCGCTCGCCTGGCATGCGTGCGGCCCGGGTTCGATCTGTCCGCCGAGAACTAAAAAATAAATATTAAAAATTCTCTCTCTCTCTCCTCTCTCTTAAAAAAAAAAAACCAAAAAACATCACTTTTATTTTTAAGAGGTGAAAGGGACCCTCAGAGATGGCTTGTTTAACCTCTGGTTTTGTAGCAGAAGTACTGAGGGATCCTTGAGTTAGTCCCCGTCACAGACCAAAACCCGGGTCCTTGGCTGAGCTGCAGGTCTGTGGCTCCCCCAAGGCCGGTCCTCAACCTGCATCATGAGGTGGCCTGGGAGGATCTGAATGAGGACTCTGGGGGGGACATTCTTTCTTTCTGCATGTGAAGAAAAGAAGGGGAAAGGACAGACACTTGCAGAAGCTGAGAGTCACCTAACAGAAATACCTAGTAGAATATCAAACCCCCAAAGATGCCTCGCTTGAGGCACAGCTCAGTGGCAGCATGTGTGGCTACCATGAGACCCTGGGATCAGTCCCCGGCCTGGTGGTGGGGCCATGGGGAAGAAACAGGCTTCTACCTTTGGCACCGATGATGCCTCAAGGCCACTGCATGTCTAAGTCTCCTCCCCTTCAAACATCTGCCAATTCATAATAGAAGCCACAGAAACTTACCTGGCCTGTTTTCAGTGTGATCTTTCTAACCAATTGCCCAGCTAATGTGTAAGGCCAAACACCCACAGGGTTCTCTGGCTGGCCTGTATTTTGGTCCTGGAGTTCTGACAACTAAGAGCTTTTGAATTCAATGGACCTTTGAGGACCGAGTGTGGTTCTGGGATAGCAAGTAAACAGACGGACTGCCTCGGGGAGCGTGGGCTCCACTCTGAAGTCTTAAACAGGAATGGAAGACTGTGACTCTGTCACCTGGCTGAGTGCTTCATCAGCGTGTGATCTGGGGACTCCTGACCTGCGCTGGCTCTGTTTCGCTGGCAGTGAAACCTGAACCTAATTCAGATGTCGTATGACACACCTAACTGCTCTGGGCACTCTAGACGAAGATAAAGCAAGGGCAGGGGCCACCCCCAAACAATTTAGGATTTTCATGTCCCACGACTCACCTATACCGTTCCTCCTGCAAGGTCTGCATTATTAGGGAATAGTCCCTCTGATAATGTTCCTTGAGGGTCTCAAAGGATTCCTCCAGTCTGGCCTGGGTATCCCGGATCTCCTGGATCTCGTGGAGTAGTGCATCAAATCCTGAGCTCTGCATGTCCAAGGTATTGGTTTTGGAGCTGGAAGCTCCTACAGCGAGGCCCCCCGTGGTGCTGTTGGCTCCCACTGAGCCTGAAGTGGCACTAGAACAATCTTCCTCGCTACCATATTTTGGGCTCGACTGGAAGTTCGAAATCACCCCCAGAGCCTTCCCCGCCTCGTCCACCTGCGCTTCCTCTAAAGAGTCCTTCAGGTTGGGGATGTTGTCGGCACTGCCAAATTTGTTCCGAATCAGCGACGCGATCTCCCTGGGTTTCGAGACCACGGCTCCTGCTGCCGAATGGGTGGCCTGGGAGAAGCTGGACAATCCCCCCTTGACGCTGTCCACCACTCCTTCGCTGAAGCCCGTCACCTTTGCTCCCACGTCCTTCAGGCCCTGGTGCATGTCCCTGAAGACATCCTTGGGCTGCCGGGGGATCCCATTCTGCTCCACTTCCCGGAGCTTCCGGTGGTAGTGCTCGAGCTTCTTCTGCAGCTGGAGGATGGTCTGGGCCGACTTCTGGTTCTTCTTCTCGAAGACCTGCTTGATGCGGGCCGCCTGCTGCTTGTCGGCGCTGTTGGCCAACTTCAGGTACTCGGCCACGTTGTCGTCCCGGGCCGTCTGCGCGATCTTGATCTGCTCCGTGAGCTTCAGGATCTTCTGCTGCAGGTGAGCGATGGCAGCCTTCGTGCGCTGAGGGTCTGGAATGCCATCCACGGAGTCTGTGTGGATGCTGCCATCGGCGCTGGAGGCCACCGCACTGGACGTCTGCGCGAGGCTGCTTACTTCCAACCGCTCGATCTGCACACAAAAGCAAGAGGTGCACGTTAGGAAGGAGCCCAAGAGGACCACCGGGCCAGGATGAATGGCCCAAAGCGTGCTGAAGCTTCACCGGCTCTCAGCTCCCAGCACGGAGAGCCAACCCATGCCCTCAGCAGCCTGCCCTGCTCCTGGGTACTGCTGCACTCGGCTCAGCCACACAGACACAGTCTAGGAAAAAAAAGACCTGCACAGGCTGTAAACTGGGAGTATTTTTTTGCTAGAGAATGCATCACAGTCTCTTTAAATAGCAAAGCTCCCTAAGTGGGTTAAGGCATGAATTAACTCACATTCTGTATGCAGAGTTTTGTTCAGAAGCACATTAGTGTACGACAGGGTACATCTGCTTTTCAACTTAATGGTAGGAAAACCATTGCAGCGTTTAGACATCACTGTCACTCTGACCCATGCTTACACACCAGGGCTACCTGAAAATGCTGGAAACAACGGGTGTGTTAGGACTGGGAAGGCAGGTCAGCAGAAGAGAACTGGCCCAGTGGGCAGAAGCCCTGGGTTCCATCCCCAGCACGGCCTGGAGTGGGGTAGCGTGGTGTATATATATAAATATTAAACTTTAATTATAATGTCTTCTCCTTTTTCTTATTTCCTCCCAGCAGTGGGGAAAGTGAACCCAGAGCCTTGCACATACTAGGCGAACACTCTGTCACTGAGCTACATTCCCACTCCTTTTTATTTTGTACTTTTAAACTTCATTTCGTGGTACAGGGGGTTTAACCCAGGGCTGTTCTGCCACTGAGCTACATTCTTAGCCCCCCTTTATATTTTTATTTTGAGACAGGGTCTTGCTAAATTGCTGAGGTGGCCTTGATTTGCAATCCTCCTGCTTCAGCCTCCTGGGGGCTGGCATTACAGGCGTGGGCTGCCAGCTTCCCGGTGTCTTGGTGTCTTTTTATCTACGTCGTGTTGAGGGTAAGGAGATCATTTTCTACTCCAATGAGGACATTGAATTGGTAGCTAGAGATGAGCAGAGGTGAGGAGGAAGGCTCTGCTGAAAGTGGCAAAGGTGACTGTTACCAAATCACAAGTGCTGGGGATGAACCTGGTCACAATAACAGGAACGCCCAGGGACTGGGGCAGAAAGAGGTAAGGAGTCAACAGAACAAGGACTGAGGTCAGGTCTTCTGAAACTCACATTATTAAAGCTTTAGCTAGTCAAAGTTTTTGTTAGGCAGGTGCTCCAAAGCTCACCCTCTATCCTTTCGTATGGGTGAGAACCATTCAAAGGAACTCAAGGGGAAAAAAAATTACTCCAAACTGCTCAGATTAAAAAACTTTAAAAAAGCACTTAGCCAAAGTTGGGGAGGGGTCAGGTCTCTCAAATTTAGGAAAAAACAAAAAATCCTTCAAGTGGCGTTACACACCTACCTACACTCCCAGGGACTCGGGTCAGGGATGCTGAGGCCGAAGATGACAAGTATGAGGCCAGCTTCAATTCAGTGAGACCCTGTCTCAAAATTAAAAAAGGAGCAGGGCTAGTGCTCAGTGGTAAAGTGCTCCTGGATTCAATCCCTAGTCCAAAAAAAGTGTCCCAGCACGTGGCTTGTGGTGGTGAATTAGAGCAGGGCACAAAGGAAAAGGCCTTAGAATCTGCTCTCTGCTGAGCACTGACAGAGTGAATAATGAAACCACCATCTCAGGGTGATGAACATGAACAGAACACACCAAATTACAAATTCACCATCATGGAGACAGACTAAGATCATATCCTTTTTCTCTGGTTCCCATTAAAAATCTGCCTTTGCAGCAATCTGCTAGAAATGACTACACAGAGGTTACCCTGCTATACTTCATGATAATAATACACAAAATCTAAAACACTCACAAAATGTCAACAATCAATTTAGCCTAGAGAGGCATCCTCTTTGTGTGTGTGTGTGTGTGGTACCAGGGGCTGAACTCAGAGATGCTTACCACAAAGCCCCATCCCCAGCCCTTTTCTGTATTTTATTGAGACAGGGTCTCACTGAGTTGCTGAACCTGCCACAGCTGGGAGGGGACACTGAGTAACCCGTGGCTCCTGGCTCCAGGTTCCTTATGGCAGGTTACTTTTCCTTGGCAGCGAGCACCTTGTATGCTGCAGGCTGTGCGAGGGAGGTCACCTGCGGCTTCCAGCAGCCCAAGTAGGACAGAGTCACACTAAAGACAGCCCAGTTGGTTTCCTTAGTTACTTTGTGGAGATTCTACATCTGCAATTTAATTATTTCATGTAAAATGGGACCACTTTTAATAAGCAATTAGTTTATTAAAAGTCACTGTGATAGCTTGTATGCTCTATTTTTCTCTTAAGGTTTTCTGACATTGCAGCAAATGTTAATTCGTATGTTGTGTGATTATTCAAGTAGCAGTGATCCCGCCTGGAGCGTGGACTTCCTCCTTAAGGACCTGGTTCAGAAAGGGAAGTGCCTGCCTCTTGTGCCTGGGCTCGGGCTTCCCTCCTGCTCTGTGCCCACTCTTCCCTGTCTCCCTCTCACCCTCCCTTTCCTACCACTCCTACACCACTTCTCCACTTCTCCTCCTCTTCAAAACTAGAACCTGCCACACGCTCCAGACGGGGACACTGGTTCTGACTTAGTTTTGAGTTAAAGTCATCAAATGAAAAGTCATTTTTTTTTTAATGGCGTCTGTAGGCACACTGGGTTGTCCACGTACAATAAGCAAAATTCGATCGCTAACGCACTCCAACCTGACAATGAAGTTGTAAATGTGAAAAGCAAAATTAAAAACATTTCAAAGCCTGTACTAAAAAGAAGGGGAGGATTGTGTGTGTGTGTGTGTCTGTGTTGCTTGGTAGAAGTGGAACCCAGGGCCTTACTCGTTAGGCAAGGACTCTACTTCTGAGATTCAGTCCCAGGATTTTCTTAAAAATATATGAAAAGTCACAAATCTGAAAAGGAGGTGAGTGAGCGGGCTCCCTGGGGCGTGGCAGTGAAGCACGCGTGGACTTTGGCATGAAGCGCTCAGGTTCAAATCCTGACATCACCACTAGCTGCACAACTGGGTAAGTCACTTGACCTCTGAACCATTCCAGCTGTAAGTGGAGATAATGCTGGCTTCAGAAGACGTGTGAAGAGGAGATGAGTCGATAAACAGCAAAGTGTCAGAACTGTCAGAGCACATTACATTGCTATTTTTGTAACGTGTGAGTATTCTCTTTAAAGATTCACATATAGACTCCCTTCCCAGCTCTCTCTCACTTCAGGCAGAACAAGGCAGATACAGGTTCTACCAGGAGCCCCGTCACTCAGCCCTACCCTGGGAGCAGGACAGTCCCCTGTCCACACAGCGCTGTGGCTCGTACCTGGCTGGCTGGCCAAACCCTCCCCAGCCTACAAGTCACATTGTTGCCTCTAATTTACAAACAACCTGACTGCAAGTGCCTCCCACCTCCAGTGATTGCAGGGAGGGGGAGGACAGTGACAGTGCCCCCTACTCAGGTCTTTTCTGATGGTTTCCTGAGGGTATGCATCTCTGATTATCCTGTGTCCTAAGAGCGGCCACGGGACTCAGGCAGCCACCATTCTGCTCTGTGGCCATAACCAGCACACAGTGTTGCCTCTTCTGCATTTTTGACTCTTACTGTCAAGAACTCATTTGCCAGACTTTAATGACCTATTAACCGGTATGAATGAATTGGTTACAGAATAAATTTAAAAAGACCCAAGAGAAATTTTAAGCAGCACATCCAGGGCACAGCAGAACCATTGCAGCTGCACACAGAGCGCCTCTCACTGCAGCCTGCTTCCGCTAGGTGGACAGAAGGGTCAGCGCACCACAGGGCCCAGGTGGACAGTCATGGCCAAGGAAAGGCGGTGGAAGCAGCGCTGGCTACAGCCAAGGGTCTGGGCTCACACTGGGCCTTACCAGACCATGTGTCTCCCTGGTCCCCTGCTTGTTCTCTTGGAGCCTGTCTCCCATGTGTATGACAGGTCCACGATCTTTTCATGAGATATTAAACATGTCCAATCAGGGGCTGGGGATGTGGCTCTGCAGGGAAGTGACTGCTTGGGAAGTAGCAGGTCCTGGGTTGGACCTCAGCCACCACCAAAACAACACCAGCAGCAACAATGACGACAACAACAAAAACAGATCACGCCCGACACACTCAGTGCAGTCACAGGAGGGGACTGTCCAGGGTCAGGTTCCTGCAAGAGGCCAACAGACCAGGCGAGAAATCAAAATGGAGTCCCTCATGCTAAAGTTCTGTGTCACCAGGCTGAGACTAAACTGCTGTCTGACCTTTCATCAGGATTGGAGGTGACAACCCAATTTCCCAAACAGGTCACTTTCAATTGACTTAAGAAGGAAGTTTCCAGGGCCAGGGCTGGGGCTCATCGGCAGAGCTCCTGCCGAGCATGTGCGAGGCCCTGGGTTCGATCCTCAGCACCACGTAAAAATAAAAACAAATAAAAAATAAAAATAAAGGTATTGTGTCCATCTACAACTAAAAAATACATATTAAAAAAAAGAAAGTTTCCTCTGCTTTAATCCTTGCACAAAAAAGGTAACCTAAACTAAGCTGATGTTAACAAATCAGTTCTTTTTCTATTGCTCTGTCTTCCTGTCCCTGTTTTACAATGAAGTAACTTTGAATTGACCAACTCACTTTTTTGGGAAACATTTACTTTTTACTTGTGGGTGGACACAACGCCTTTACTTTATTTTTTATGTGTTGAGGATCAAACCCAGTGTCTCATGCAGGCTGGGCGAGTGCTCTTCCTCTGGGCCTCAGCCCCAGTCCTCACTTTTTGTTTTCTATTTCTTCAACTTTCTTCTGTCTGTAAAAACTTCTTCTGCTTAACTCACCTGAAGCACTTATTTTAGTTTAGGGAATGAATTGCTGTTTGATGACAGACCTGAAAATAAAGCCGGTTAAGATCATTAAACCACTGGTGTGGGGCACAGGACTGTGGGACTAGCTACTAAGGAGGCTGAGGCAGAAAGAGCCCAAGTTTGAGGCCAGC